ATTTAAACAGGGACACAGGAAGTACCTCTCTCTCTCTCGGGGAAGCTAGGAGCACTGCAGGAGGTAAGATTTTATCTCTGAGCTCTGACCTCTCGGCTTTCTTTTTTACATTGGCTCTGTGTTTCTTATTTTAAAAAGACGATTGGTTACATCTACAGTTTTTAAATAAGAATGGCCCCTATAGGCTCATCTATTTGAATGCTTGGTCACCAGGGAGTGGAACTGTTTTAAAGGATTAGAAGGATTAGGAGTTGTGGTCTTGTTGGAGGAAGTGTGTCACGGGGGTGGGGGTGGGGGGTAGGGGAGTGGCCTTTGAGGTTTCAAAAGCCTATACTAGACCCAGCCCCCCACACACACCATGTCTGCCTGTGTGCTGCCATGCTTCCCGCCATTGTGATAATGGATTATCCATTGAAACTGTAAGCAAGCCCCCAATTAAAAGCTTTTTTAAAGTTGCCTTGGTCATGGCGTCTCTTCACAGCAATAGAACAGTGGCGCTCTCTCTCTCTCTCTCTCTCTCTCTCTCTCTCTCTCTCTCTCTCTGTCACACACACACACACACACACACACACACATATACATATACATATACATAAATTTTTGAAGCAGGGCAAATCCAGGGCTACTCCGTGGAGCCCTCAGATCCTCTCGGAGAGCAGAGATCCTCAGAAGGCAGAGGCTTTGAAAGAATAGGGGCCTTGAGAAATTGGGGTGGGATGGAACTCCCATGGGGGAGCTCAGGAGGAGTCAAAAGTTGGGGGGACAGTCACCAGGGGCCCCAGAACCATCAGTGTGGCAAGTGAGAGCACCAGGTCTGCCTGGAGAGGCCGTTCTCACATGGGACTGTCCGGCCACTTGTGGAGGAAGTAGGGGCCGGCACAGGAAGTCCACCCATTTAAGAGGCTCAGGACACCTTCACAACTGAGAGATGCTTCCTCATGCTCACACCTGTGCTAAACCCAGCTGGTGACTGTCCACTGTGAATCACTGATCTGGGGATCACACCCATCCCTCCCCAGGTCTGTTGCCCCGAGAAATGCAATTTCTGATAACTCAAAACCTTGCAGACTGGAGGTTAGGTTATGTTGCTTTTCAGCTTCAGTGACAGGGAAATGCTCCTTGCTGAAGCCAGAGTTCCAGTCCCAGGATTGACAACCTGAATAGCCTGCCTTTTCCCTCCATGGAGCAGCATCACTTGGTACCTGGCTTGCCCTTCAGGGCAATGGGCTCACTGGGTTCCGAGGGATCGCTCATGCCATACTGGTTCAAGGCTCGCACTCTGAAGACGTACGATTTTCCTTTCTCCAAGTCCAGGAGGGCGAATCTCGGGGACTTGATGGGTGTTTCTGAGCTGATGGCTTCCCAGGTTCCACTACCTATGACGGACTGGGGAGCAAGAAGGATTGGGGTAGGTTCAGTGGCTGCTGGAGCCTGGTTGTGGGCTGGGCCCTTCCCCTGAAGGCTCTCAGAGCAGCTGACTGCAGCTGGGATGAACTCCTGGGTACCTGATCTCTCCTCCTCACTCTGATGTCTGCTGAGCCCCTCTCGGGAGGTGTGGCCAGTACTAACTGTGGGTTCCGATGTGGCTCACACAATGCTAATGGCATCAATACCTGCAATCACTTGGGCCACAAAGCCAGTTGACTCCACCTTCAAAACACATCCAGGGTCCAATGTGAGCTCCCCACGACACCCTGGATCCAGGCCAGCTTCACCTGTTGCTTGAATTACTAACTAGTCTCACTGACGCCTCTCATTCTGACGTCAGCTTTTTGTTGTTACTTTTCTTTTCTTCCTTTCTCCTTCCCCATTTCCTCTTTACTTCTTGCTATCTTTTTTTTTTAAAGATATATTTTATTATTTTGTGTGTGAGAGTACCCAGAGGCCAGCAGGGGGCATCCAATCCCTTGGAGCTGGAGTTACAGGTGTTTGTGAAGAGCTGGGATCTGAACTCTGGTCTTCCCATGGAGCAGTCCGGATTCTTAACTGCTGAGCCATCTTTCTAGCCCCTTTTGATTTGTTTGTTTGTTTGTTTGTTTTCGAGACAGGGTTTCTCTACGTAGCCCTGGCTGTCCTGGAACTCACTTTGTAGATCAGGCTAGCCTTGAACTCACAGAGATCTGCCTGCTTCTGCCTCTCAAGTGCTGGGATTAAAGGTGTGTGTCACCATGCCTGGCCCCCTCTTTGGTTTTTGAGACAAGGTCTCACGTAGCTCAGGCTGGCATAAAACTCATTCAAGGGCAGCCTTGAACTCTTGAATCCTCCTGCTGAGATTTCAGGTGTGCACCACCATGTCTGATGAGATTACAGGTGTGCACCACCATGTCTTGATTGAGATTACAGGTGTGCACCACCATGTCTGATGAGATTACAGGTGTGCACCACCATGTCTTGATGAGATTACAGGTGTGCACCACCATGTCTCGCTCTGGTCTTTTCTTCAGTGGCTGTCAGTGGGATCTTTTATGGCAACTGGTCCCTGTCTGCTCAGAACCCTTTCAAGCTCCTGTGTCCTGACCTGTTACGAGACACTTCCCTGTGACTTGCCGCCTATCTGGCCACCATTCACTTTCCTTTCTCCACTACATTATACCTAGGTCTTCCTGTTGCTCTCCAGAGGCCCAGGTCCTATCTCTGGGCCTTCGTACTTGCTGCAACCTGTATTAGGAATGTTCTGGAGTATTCTTGGCTCCTTATTTCCTTTAGGCTCTCACTAAGAACTCACCTTCTAGGGAGGCCTCCAGTCACTTTCTGTCTTATTCCTTAGCAAGTCCCACTAGTCAATGAACTCTTGTCCTTAATTTTACAGCCCCAGCTTGTCTCTCAGGCCTCCTCACCTCACCATATCACCAGGGCCAGAATCGGTCCCTGCCCAGGGGAGAATGGATGACTAAATGAATTCTCAGGAAATGCAAGGTGGATGTTAATTTCCACATGAGGGAGGGAGCGTAGGTGTTGAGACTTTTTGATAACGTGTCTGAAGTCACCCATCAAGCAAGATGTGGATAGGACACGCCAACTCGGGTGTGGGCGGCACCAGCTCAGCTCAGGCTCTGCTTTATCAGGGACTCAGAAGGCAACCACTGCTCCTGAGCTTCTGGGAAGATGGAGGGTAGAGCGCCACAGTGAGGACCTGCTGACCCTGCCTCCCTGGCCCTTCTTCTCCAAGGCCCACATGACTGTCAGGGCCTAGAACCCACCAAAACTGACCGCAGGCATCAGTGGACACACGTGCAAATGTGTGCTGGGCTCCTCTCTGCACATTCAGATGACACACACCTCAGACCTACACAGTGTGTGTTATTTATTATGTTATTATGTATTGTTATTATGAACATTGTACCAGACAAGAAACTGAGGCAGAGAAGGGTTAACACAAACAACATTGCTACTAATTTGCAGAAGCAGCCTTTGAGCCCAGGCAGCCCTTACTCCATAGCCCAGGAAACAAAGTTTCTCTTTTGTGCTTATGTTTGTGTGAGGGAAAGATATGCCTAGGCATGGGTGCCTACGTGTGTGCGTACATGCATGCAGGTGTGGGTGTGTGTAGGCCAGATGTTGACACTGGATGACTTCCTCAATTGTTTTCCTCATTTTTTTTTAGACAATCTCTTACTGAACCTGGGGCTCACTCACTGGCTAGACTGACTGGCTAGCCAGCCCAGGGAGCCGCCTCCTAACTCTGCCTGCACCAGCACTGGGATTCCCAGAACCATTGGCATGCATGGCTTTTATGTGAATGTGAATGCTGGGGATCCGAATGCAGTGAGTACCTGCCATCTTCCCAGTTCCACAAACTGTCAATTATCTGCAGCTCTCTATGCCAGAGAATGAAGGCTGTTTATCTGCGAGGTGAGATGAGGGTCTCGCTGGAGAATCAGAGGTAGTGAGTCCTCCCTGGACATTTTAAATTCATGGATTCAGCTAAGTCGTTATTGAAGTGGCTGTCCTCTCTTATAACAGGACTGACCCTAACAGGGCCAGTTTTTTTTTTCTTCCCCAGGGACCAGTTTGCTAAGACCTCTGCCCCATATTACCCTCCCATCCCATGTTGACTCATGTTTGCCTTCAATCAGACCCTCAGGAAGTACGTCCAGTCTGGTAGTTAATCAGGGTCCTACCCAGCCACAAGCAGGAACTGTTCTTGCTATTTTCAGTTAAACAGACCCCTGACACAGCAGACAGACCCCTGACACAGCACACAGACCCCTGACACAGCACACAGACCCCTAACACAGCACACAGACTCCTGACACAGCACACAGACCCCTGACAC